CAGATAAAGAAATTGTAGTACATATACTAACTTGACCATAAAAATAAGGACACTTTACCATTTGAAACAATATGGATGGACCTAGATGGTATTATGCTACATGAAATAAGTCAAAGAAAAGCAAATACCATATGACTTCAGCTATATGTAAAATCTAAATTACAAGATAAATGAACAAAAAAGAAACAGACTCATGGATACAAAGAACAGACTGATGGTTGCCAGATGGAAGCAGTTTTGGGTGCTGAGTAAAAACAGTGGAGGGATTAAGAAGTACAAATTGGTAGCTACAAAATAGTCAAAGAGATGTAAAGTACCATTACAGGAAAATATTAATATTACAATATTAATATATTAAATATATTTAATAAAATATTAATATGTATGGTGCTACGTAGGTACTAGACTTATAGAGGTATCACTTTATAAGTGATATTAAATGTCTAACCACTATGTTATATACCTGAAACTAATATAAAATAATATTTAATGTCAACTGTAATTAAAATTCTTTTTAAAAATAAAAAAGAAATTCCCAAGAGGAGGAGACAAGAGAGGCGTCACAGCCAAACGCATGTGGTGACTTGGACCAAATCCAGGGACAGAATAAGGACATCAGTGAAAAAACTGCAAAAATGAAAAAAAAAAATGTCATTTCATTAATAGTATTATACCAATGCTCACAAACATACCATCAGTTGCAAGACAGTGATGGTGGGGGAGCAGGGTGAAGAACAGGAACTCTTTGACTAGTTTCGCGTTCCCTCTGTAAATCTAAAGTTACCTCAAATAAGTTTTTTGAAGAGAATATGGCTAACAGTGACTTCCAACAATTTTGAAAAGATAATTCATAAGTGATTTAAGAAAAAAATATTAAGTTTAGTCTTAAGACTACAGAAAAATTGCAGCAGTGTTAAAAATATTACTTTCAATCTATTCATCTATTAATAGACACTTCCGTATCCTGGCTACTATAAACAATGCTACAATAAACATAGGCATGCAGATGTCTTTTAAAAAACATACATATTATTTTTAAAAAATCTTCTTACAAAGAAACCCTAGATCCAGATGGTTTTGCAGAGGGTTTTACTAAACTCTCAAAATTGATTATTCAAATTTCATACAAACTCTTTTATTTAAAAAAAAAAAAATGCTCTCAAATTTAGCCCACAAGGATGAGCCTGATACCAAATCCAAAGACATTATGAGAAAGAATAATTACAAGCCCACACACTCATGAATAAATATGCAAAATTATAAATAAAATACCTGCAAGTCAAATGCAACAATATGTAACGATTATAAGACAAAACCCAACCTGGGTTTTATCCTGCTTATACAAAGATAATTTAATATTAGAATATATATATAAATGTAATTCACATTAACTGATTAAAAGAAAAAAACCATGTAATCACTCAGTAGGTACACAGAAGTCATTTTTAAAAATTCAGTTAACTTCCTTATTCTGATAAATAGTAGCTAGAAAAGCTGGAGAAATCATTTTAAATGGATAAATGTTACACATGTAAACTTTAAAATCAAGAATAAGACAAAGACACTCATTATCCATCACTTCTCGTCAACATTGATTTGGGGAAAGTCTTAGAAAAGGAGTGTGCGTGCAGAAGCAAATGCACACATACCCAGATTGCATTACAGCTTACACAGAAAACAGAACTATGCATAAATTATTAGAAATTATAGAATTTAACAAGGTTGCTAAAAATAAGATTTAATAAAAATCAGTTGTATTTCTATAAACTAACAGAAAACAAAGAGGACAAGTAATTATATAGAACTTATTGTAATAAAATCAAAGAATACCAAGTATCTCGAAATAAATCTAACAAAAAGCCTTAGAACTTTTTCACATAAAGTTATGAAAACTTAATAGTAGATATTAAATAAGATAATAAAGAAGAGGAAGATTCAATACACTGACAATGTAACTAAGACCCAGGATGACTGTGTGTAAGTGAATTGTAAATGAGTTGATAAAAAAATCAAACTTACAATAAATACCCTCAGCTAGATCTGAAAAGCCTTTTTTCTGTAAGTGTGGTGGAGCTCCTTCCACAAAGAAGTTGTATGTACAACAACAAAATATTTTCTTGTTAGTAGCCATGGCATGAAATACAACTTGAACAAGCTATTTTTAAAAATATATAATATATGAGAAAGGCCACAGTGCTACAGACCAAAATGACCTAACTTCGAATTCTCATTCTGTCATTACTAGTTATGTGACATGAGTAAGTTGATTAAACTCTTAAACCTCATTTTCCCCACTTGCAAAATAAGTCTATGATAATATTTACCACCATATGCTGTTACAGGTATCAGACAATATTTCAAATGGGGAGTATCTATCACAGTCACTCGCCCACGTAATGTAAATTATGGTATCTAGCCATATTAGCTCAAATAAAAATGAATTAATACATGTTAAAGCAATGCAGTGAAAAGACCTAAATTAAAAGTTTAAAGGCATGCAGTCTCTTTCCTTAGCTATGTCAAGTTCAATACATCATTTCTCCTTGATGAAGTTCATTTTATTTACTAATAAATAAAATTTGCCCTGCCTCCTTAAGATCAAATAAAGAAACATGTGTAAAAACACTAGAATACCCAGGCATTACAAAACTAAATGTATTCATCCTTAAGCTAAAGTATTAGAGTGGAAGAAATGTTCTGTGGATTAAAAAGATAAACATAATGGATTTAAGAGTTGGAAAAACTCAGATTTGAATCCTTGGAATTAAGAAGATGGGAAGTGGAGTCAAATCAGCCTTGTTTAGAGCACCATCACTCACTTCTGTATTTGAAAAATAATACCAACCTCCTAGGGTTGTGAGGATTAAATGACATAATGCACGTAAAGCTCTTAAAGTGATGTTTGGAATACAGTTCCCATACGTAATTTTATTAGTATTATTAAGCCTTAAGTTTCCTTAGTTGTAAAATGTGGGATAATGCCTACCTAACAGAGTAGACATGAAAAATAAATAAAATATTAGTAAAGCATGTCAAACAATACTTTAATGGAAGCTGATTATAACAATACTAAGACAAGTTGACCTAACATCTCTGATCATCTATCTCTGTCTTTTCCAGAATTAATGTATTATAGCGCTATTATTTTTCTTACAGATTTTCTTTAATTTTTCATCAAATTCATTTTTAACAAGCTAACAATAACACTCAAGAAAAATTTACGTGACTGGAACACAATTATATTAAGAGACCTTTCATGAAAGTACATTTAGAAAATGGTAACAATGTTTTCATTACATTTCTAATGTAAATTAGCTAAATTCCAGGTCAGAAAAAATTAGTTCTTAGCAAAAGAAATATTAGAACCTACAAATCCTGTTGGGAGTTTTTAGTCATAGTTTAACACTGAAAAAAGAAAGCAAAAAGGTTGTTCCGCCCACTGTTTTGCTACTGCCTTTTCTCTCAATCCCGCCATCTTTGGAAACAATGGAATCACTAAAAGGGTAACAATTTTCTAAAATCAATTTACTTTAAAATAGTCTCTTATTCTCTTTTGTGGCTTTTTTTTTTTTTTTAACCTCTTATTTCTAGAAGCTCCTCACATAGAAAACTCCATAATTAGGTCTTTTATTTTTACCTTTTTTTCTTATTGTTATTTAGGTATAGTTGTCTCCATTCCCTCCCTCCCCTCCATCCCCAAAAAGTTGTCTTCTTAAAGAAAGCAGATTCACTAGAGAACAAAATAAACAAAATAGAAAAAGCTCAAAGATACAGAGAACAGACCATGGTTGCTAGAGAGGAAGGGGGTTAGGGACTGGGTGAAAAAGGTGAAGGGATTAAGAAGTACACATTGGTAGTCATAAAACAGTCATGGGGATGTAAAGTGCAGCCTAGGAAATACAGTCAATACTGTAATAACTATGCATGGTGCCAGGTGGGTACTGAAAACATCAGGAACACTTTGTAAAGTATATGACTGACTAACCACTATGCTGTATACCTCACACTAATACAAAATACTATTGAATATAAACTGTAATTGGATAATAAAATAAAAATTTAAAAATAAATTAAAGAGTAAAAAAGAAAGCAGATTCAGATGCTGTGGTCACTATCACTCTGCAATTCATTGGTCTAAGTAAGTCCTACAAAATCAGTTTCAGTAACCTGAAATTTATTATATATACATCTGCATAGCTGACTTTTAGTGACTCCCCAAAGCTGACTGAGTTCTTTTAATTTTCCAAAGATCAGTAAGAATCTTTTAAGCCAGAGTTGACACAAGGATATTCTATTCTGGACCCCATAGGAAAATGTGCTTTGTTTGAAACTCTATTCACACAGCAATTAGGTAGAGTCAACCACTCTGGGCCACAGGTAAAGTGGAAAGCTATTTTCCCATAAATTTACCTAACAATAATAGGCAAGTTATTGGTTAACAGTGGGACTAAGAGGTAAGCAACTAACTAGAATACTCTGCTTTCTTGAACAGGTTGTCCTCATCAGGATTTAAACTGAAATATGTTCAAAGAACTCATGACCCTGGCTGGATAGGTCAAGGTTGCAATTTCGATTCCCAGTCAGGGCCCGTAGAAGCAGCAACCAATGAATGCATAAATAAGTAGAACAACAAAATCAATGTTTCTTTCTCCCCCTTCTCTCTCTAAAATCAATTAAAAAAAAAAAAAGACTCACATTTTAAAAAAAGAACTCAGCACTGCCTTGGAAGATCCAACAAGTTTCAGGACTGAAAAAAAATAAGTCACTTCCTTCAGGGACTTATTTATTTACTATGCATGTTTAAGCTATAAGTAAAGGCCAAAGACCTGATCAAAAAATTAAAAAACAATTTTAAAATATTGTCATTAACAAGGAAAATGAAGCCCATTTCAGGAAAATAAGGCCTTTGTCTGGTCAACAGCCAAGCAACTATACACTATTTTAAACCATATCAAAGAGCAAATTAAAATTGACTCAAGAAGATAAATGTCAGAACTCACTTTTTGATTTCTCGAAGCAGCATTCGGATAAGGATGATCTGAAGCGGTTCAACCATTAATTTCCTCCACATATCCAATGCTAGCTGCCAGGAAAAATAAAAACCATCAAGGCTAAATTACTTAAATTCTTTTTCAACATTTGTTTAATACTTAAAAATAATACCCAACGAAAAAAGTATTTATAACTAATATTTGAAAATTCAAAATTGAATAAACATAAGGAAAATTAATTTCTAATTTTAAATGACATATCAGACTTGTACTAAGAAAAGAGTTAAGGTTTTATGATTACTTGAAAATTTTACAGAAATAATTGATTTTTATAAAACCTTATTTGATTATCAAATGCTCAGTATTATGGAGAAGTTACAGATGCTAAGGTTATAACAAAGAATTTATGTTCAATAAAATAATGTAATTTGGCTGTTAACTAACTTTTTAAATTATAAAGCCTCTCATACAAACATGAAATAATGTCAGTTTAAAGAATAATGAAACAAAACACCCCTGTATTCACCAACGAGTTTACACAATATGACTTCACCATTACTATTGCCCCTCAAGAGGTTTTCACTATCCTGAACTTCATGTTAAATCGTTCCCTTGCTTAGAATTTTACCAAATGTGTAAGTATCCCCCTATAATATTTTTGAAATTGACCATTTCTGGCCTTGATAACAAAATCATGTTGTATACTCTTCTATGTATAATTTTTAAAATTTTAACTGTTATTAAACTCCATCTAAATTGAAAAATACAGCTATATATACAGTTCAATCATTGACACTGTTATATAGTATCCTGTTGTATAAATATACCATGATTTATTTTTCCTCTTTGCTGATGACATGTCTGTGATTCCAGTTTTTTGCTGAGAAAAAAATGCTGCTATTCTTGTATATATCTTCTGGTGAACATATGCAAGAAATTCCCAGAAATACACCTATGAGTGGAGATGATGCCCTACAGGGTTAGGAAAACACACAGCTTTACTAAGTCAAATGGTTTTCCAGTTACACTGGCACAAGCAATGAATGAGAGAGAGCTCCTTGACAACAAGTGTGACTGATAGGCTTTAGTCATGCTTTGCCAATCTGTTGGTTGTAAGATGGCATCTCCTTGTAATTTTAACTGGCATTTTCTCAAATGAAACTGGGCATCTTTTTATATGTTTATTGTGCATCTCAGTTTTTTCCTGTGAAATTCATTTCTTTTGCCCATTTTCCCATTAATGTTTGTCTCGTTCTTAATGAAGCTTAGGAGCTCTTTATATATTGTAGAAATTAATCCCTCAACAGTTTTATTATTGCACTTTGTCACAGTTTGTGGACTTTTGAGTTTCTTTATAGTAGTTTTTTAGTAAAAATATATTGTACTTTAATATTCAAATTTATCAATTTTTTCCTTTATCATTTGTATTTTTTGTGTCTTTTAAGAACTCTCTCCCTACTCTAAAGTCATAAGGGTATGGTCATAAGATCTTAAGGTATTCTAAATTGTTTTCCAAAAATTTTGAAGTTTTCCTTTCACATTTAAGCCTTTAAACGCCAATGTATTTTTTTTTCCATACAAAGTACAAATTATTCTAGCATCAGAAACTGATTGCTCCTGTTTCTAACTGAAGTGTATCCATAGTGGTGTAAGTCTGTCTTTAGCCTCTCTATTCTGTCTCCCTGGAGTATCTCTATTCTGATCCATGGGTAATTTCATTTCAAATAAATAAAAGCATGTCTTCTTACAAGGAACATCCTTCAAGTTTTACCTTCTTTTTTCTTCTTTTTAAATACCATGAACAGGGAAAAACATAAATACATAAGAAAATGAGATTTTATGGCTGTGATTGGAGGGCAAACTGGTAAAGCCTTTTGAAAGGCAAGTTGGCAGAGCAACTTCCAGGTACCCACTCTATGGAAGTTTCTGCCAGTATATAAAGAATTATATACATAAATTATTCCATGAGTGTAACATTTGTGTCTACTTTGTTCACTACTGTATTCCTAACATACAGAACAGTGTCTGGCACAGAGGGGTAAAAAAACATTTAATAAGTAAGCCATAATGTTCACTATAGTATTGTTTTAATAACAAAAAACTGAAAAGAGGAATCATGTAATTAATAAATTATTGTTATATCCCTGATGTATTAAGCTCTTACAAAAATGTAACCTTATGCAAAAAGAACTTCTCAGCATGTTAACAAAAAAGGTATGAAATACAAGTTGGAGGACTTTAAATATGGTGTAACACTGTTGTTTAAAAATAAAACTATTATGCATGTATACATGAGTATTTATATGCAAATGCACACACAAAATTCAGAAAAGATATAAACCAAATTGTTTATAGTGATTTCTTCTGGGAAAAGGAGCAGGCTTGATGGTGTGGGTAACAAGGAGCAAACATTAAGTAAAATATTCATTTATAAACCTAATCACTAAAGAAACCACTGTTAAGATTTTGGTATTTCTCACTGATGTGCCTCAGAATATCCTTTTTCCCCCTACAGTTTTATTCCTATTAAATATATAATGTTATGACCCATTTTTTATAAACCATTTTCCCCTTTGTTAAAAGTTCCTATGAACTACTTTCTACTACCAATTTATTCATTTGCCTACCTTTATAACAAAATACTGGATATATTATTCTTTGTATGATTTTTATTGTTGGCTGTCAGAAATTTAGATTTTTTACCCTTATTAGCAATGATTGCAAATAATACTTTGAAACACTTTTCTCCCCCATACTTATTATTTTCATAGTATAGATTACTAGACGTGGAATTACATGGTCAAGCAATAGGTATTAAACATTTTAAAGTCTACTGAAAGATACTGACAAATTTCTTTCCAAAAAGATTATTCTAATTTAAATCTCTACTAATGTTGCACCTTACTGTTTCCTTCACTGACACTCATCACAATTTAAAATTAATTTCTTTACACATTTGGTATCTGCTTCCCTGTGAGGACAGCAACCTTCTGTCTGCTCACCACTGAATCCACAATGTCTGGCTGCTCAATAAGTGTATTACATGGATAAATGACATGGAAATGACATGGAAAAAACATTTTATGAGAGTATTTCTTTCACAATCAATATACACATTAAGTAATTCTCCACATTTAAATTTGCACTGCACCTCAAGATTCTGAGTGAATTAAACTGCATATTTCATTGTTTTACTCTGAATTTAACTACTTCTTAAAGTTAAAATAAATTTGTTATATCCGTAAATTTGCATTTACTATCATTTAGTTTCTCTTTTAAGCCCATGTCCTTTGCACTTTCTAACTACAAGTCTCAACATTTCTAGATACTTTTCATGGGCTTTGTCACATAGCAGAACTATTAACTTACCATTAATTTAATTATTAAAATAATACTCATCATATCTTTTCTGCTTTTCTTATCCATTTGAAGAGTCTTAAGAAATCATAACAGTATTTTATTTACTTAACATTTATGTTTTAAATTTTGACAATTTGGAGATAGTCTACTCAGTTTAAAGAAAAACAGTAAATCAAATTACTTAAGTAAATAAAAACGTTCATATATCTGCCAGTAATTTAAGGAATTTCCTACCTCTCCTATCTCCATAAGTGGTTCATTCATATCTACACCACCATAGCCATACTGAAGGTCAGCTTCTGTCAATTTATTTTTTTTAATAAACTGGGTGTTTAGATACCTGAAAAATAAATGTTGTATCATGTGACAGTATGTCAATATCAATAGGAAAACAAGTAACTTATAATTCTGGAACAATAATTTCAGGGTTATAAATAAACTACAGAACAGTTTAGTAATATATCCAAAAGTAATTAAATAAAAATTTATAAAAATTATCAGCCCAATTTTCTGTGCAAGGCCCTAAGAGACAAAGAATAAGACCTCTAGCCCTGGCTGGTGTGGCTCAGTGGGTTTAGCACCAGCCTGAGAAGCAAAACAAAAGGTCACCAGCTTGATTCCCAGTCAGGACGCATGCCTGGATTGTGGGCCAGGTTCCCAGTTGGGGGTGTGCAAGAGGTAACTAGTTGGTGTTCCTTTCTCTCACAAGGATATTTCTTTCCCTCCCTTCCTCTGTTTCTAAAAAATAAATAAAATCTTTTAAAAGAAAAGACCTCTAGAGTAGTGGAAAAAACACTATAACCCCAGTGTCACTTAAAATACAAACAAACTCAAGGGGCCCTGGCCAGGTAGTTCAGTCGGTTAGAGCATCATCTGGATATGCCAAGGTTATGGGATTCGATCTCCAGTCAGGGTACATACAAGAAGCAACCAATGAATGCATAAATAAGTGGAACAACAAATCGATGATACTCTCTCAAATCAATAAATAGAAATGTTTTAAATACTCCAGGGTTTTGCTCTAAAAATTCCAAGTCTTAGAGCCCAATAGCTCCTATCCAACAGATAAGCTTTCAACAACCTCATTTCTTCTCAGTAAGATTCTTCTCAATAAGTCAAGATAAGTTTGCCTTGGAAAGAATTAAACAGAAAATGGTTAAAAGATCTTAGCCAGGTCTGTTCTCTAATTTACACTTTTCCTCAGGAAAAATTTAACTTTTCAGTTTTAAACAAACAACAAAAATCATAATTAGCTGGTAAGAAAATGGAATTGGTTGTTATAGACAGTAGGAAGTATGAGTAAGACAGATTTAAGGTCACTTCATCTACTTGAGAAAAAGAGCTTCATAAAGAAATTGTTTCAATGTATTCTAAGACTAATAACTGTGATAAATTCTAAGAGTTACTGAGATGAATACAGAGTTCTAAAATTAAATACAATGTATAGAAAGAGCCTATAATATTCAAACAATGTTCTGTCACCCTAGATTTCACTGTACTGTCTTTAATGCTCACAACCAAAAAACAAACAAACAAGCTAGTCACCTGAAAGGTTCTGCCAGTGTACTAAATAGCTATTGACAGTGCAAGTATTTAGGCAACAATCATGAAATCTTATATTAAGACACACACTTTCTAATGTTCACTGCATCAAAATGGAAGGTCCACTTAACATTTACAGACAACTGACACTAAAAGTAAAGATGACAAAATTTCAACTGCCTAACTCCACCAACAACTCTAAAGAGGTGATGAAAAATATAATTCCTGGAATTAACTTCCAAATGGCATAGACACAACCACTTATACAAGTTCAACTCCCACATGCAAAAACTTCAAGTCTCTGTACTCCAAGGCTCATAACCCAGGTGCTCCATTTCACATATTGCCTCCTCTACCTATAGGTTACAAAGTCACATTATTATTTTTCCTGCATTATGTAACCTTCATAATTTCATGATAGGTTTCCAACCATGCCTTCCAACCATGCCTTCCAGGGGAAAGGAGAAGAGAATGAAAAAAAGCAAAAGCCAAAGAGAGTTGTTTTTTCACCTGTAACAGAGGATCTGGGATAAGACCTGAAATGCAGGAAATGCTCTATCCCAGATATTTTCATCTCTGGCCTCTGCCACTTACGTCTCAGTTCAAACACACCTCTCTCAGGCCTGGCTTGACCCCAATCCAAATTAACCCAGAGAGGTGTGGCACACAGCAGGCAGTGAGGACACGTGTGCCCTCACTCCTTTCTCTGTCTTGATTCCGCCTGCGGGTAGCTGCAGGGGCTGCTGACATTCAGCTCTCTGTCCTTGCCCAGGAGCTACATACCCTGGAGGTGACTGGCCAGGAGCTGATCACCCAGATCAAGGCCCCTCCAGCCTCTCTGAAGGGAATGGCTCCAGATCAAGTTGTGCTTCTGGCAGGCAGGACTTCTAGAGGAGGACACTGTCCTGGGCCAGTGTGGGGTGAAGGTTCTGACCACTCTGGAAGCAGCCAGCTGTGTGCTGGGAGGCAAAGTCCATGGTTCCCTGCCCTGTGCTGGCAAAGAGGTCAGACTCCCAAAGTGGCCAAACAAGAGAAGAAGAAGGTTGGTTGGGCCAAGCAGGAGATGGGGTGTAACCAGTGCTTTGTCAATCTTGTGCCCGTATTTGGCAAAAAGGGCCCCAAAGCCAACTCTTAGGTGGTGCTTTGTAATCCTGGCTTTGTCTAATAAAGCCACTTAGCCCAGGCAAACAAACAAACAAAACTCTAACTTCCCACCCACAGTGAAGAACTATCTAACACACAACTGTTCTATTTTTTTTCACAGCACTTGTTTGCTACTATGAGAAATAATCCCATTCTGTTACATGTTTGTTCATTTTGTCCATCCCTCTCCCCTCTAGAATAGAAGGTCTGCAGGCAAGGACCATGTCTTGGACACTGCATCTAGAACACTGGCAGGCAGCTCTGAAGTCCTGAAAACTACTTCTTCAATGAATTACTAAAAAAAATGGGTAACATTCCAGACAGCAGGGAAGGCAAAAACTAATACTAGAACACAAATCTGGAAAGCAGCTTGGAGTCAGATTGTAAGAGCCAGGAATGACAGGAAATAAAAGTAATCACTAACACTTACGGAACTTGTATCAGGTGTCAGACATAGCCCTAAGCATTCTACACAGCTGAATACCATGAGATAGATACATATGCAGTACTATCATAATCCTCATTTCATATATATGAAAATTGCAGCATAGCTTAAAGAACTTGCCAAAGTCAATCTGCTAAGTGGCAGAATTGGCAGAGAAACTCATGCATTCTCCCACTCTCTCTCATTCAACAAGTATTGCCTGAGTGTGTACTTCATGCAAGGCACTGGGGACAGAAAGATGAAAAACAAAAATATGGTTCCCACCCACATGGGAGTCTGCACATCTGGTAGAATATACAAACAAACAAATGTAGTATTTCAGTAATGACATGTGCTCCCTGAGGAGAGGGAACTTAAGTGTCATACCTTTATCATTTTTATGTGTCTTCCTCTATGGATCCTTTGCTCCAATTCAGTTTCTTTTTTGGGCAATGGTATCATGGCCACCCCAATAATCTCACTTATCTCATCCTTTCAGTTTGCCTTTTTTAATCAGTTGGTCTTCATGTCCTACTAAACTATTCATCATCTCCTTCATGACTTTCCTTTTCATTTCCAATGCCATTTGTCTACTCTCCGCTTGGTTCATGTGCAACACACTCACAATTGGTTTCTTCTTCTGTTTTGTGGCATCTCCAATGCATCTAAAAATTCTGCTTTCACAATGTCACTTTCCCATTCAAAATCCAAGAGTACCTCCCTTATACCTACACAGTAAATATAAACTTCTCAGAACAATATTTTGTTAGCTCTGAAGCAGCAGCTGCTAAATCTGCAGACCTGAATTCACTAATCCATTCCAAAGAACTGTGTGTTCATTCCTGACCAGTACACAGTTTCAGTGGAGTTTTATATATTTACATCTGACAGGACAAGTCACTATTCTCTCCACTTCATGGAATAAAATCTAAACTAATGTATATTAAATATATCTTTCTTATTCCAGATTTCTACTCTTGATAAGTTAAGCTTGATAGCCAAACTTTTAAAATAAATAAAATTATTTTTAAATAAATTTTTAAGTAATTTAAAATGTAAATAGTGCAATGCTCATTTTTATGTAGATACCATTCTTAATCCCTAAATCACTGTAGTATTTTACAATATTAACTACATACTTGTTTTTTAAATAAAGACATGTTCTAAAAAATCATAAAAGAAAATTGCATCCAATAATTTCTTAAAATAGTTTATACTCTCCTACACAGATAATACCTTTTTGTTCTTCTTAGGGATAATGCAAAGTACCTATTCTTACAATTTATTCTGTCAACAAAGTGGTTAATAAGTATCCTTGCTTTTCTGAAGTATGAGCAGTAACACAATGGTATTTGGCAAGAATACTGAGAGAGCATATAAGAAATCAGGCTTTTTGACCTATCTTAGAAAATTCCTTTATAATAATGGTACTCAAACTAATACCTACTGGATTTCAAGAATTGTAAGTTCTCAAGCTAATACCTTAAGTACTGCACTTTAAGGGCCAGGAGAGTCTAAATAGATATGTAATACTGGGGGTGGGGGGGCACAAATATCATTATTTCTCTTTAAAATCAGATTCTTTAAGTCATCTATGCTAATACATATCCATCTAATAAATTAAATCTGAGTAAAGAAGAGGTTAGACAGTGATCAAATTTGCACTTTAGATAACAGAAGTTTACGAAAAAGAATAAATTAGAAATAAAAAATGGGAACTGATTACAGGGACTTTATCATTAACATTATCATTCCTGGTGAGGAATGATAAAAAGCTTGAACTATAGCAGTGCAAAGGAAATAATGAATTTCAGAGATATTTGGAGGAGTCAACCAGTAGGGGTCGGGTGGAGAGGATAACCCTAAGTGAAACTTGTGGCATGTATGTCTAGGTCTAGGCATACAGTACTACCGTTCACTAAAATTAGTCATGCTGGGACAGTGTGCACATAAAAGATAATAAGCTCAGTTTTGAAAACCTGCAGTAGTACGGTGTACTCATAGAACATCTAAGCTACGTAAAAACACTCCTCTGCAACTTAAACTGCTTGGGATATACAAATATTTTGGTGGCTATCAATACGTAGGTTGTAGCTAAAACCAAGAGTAACTGAGATCATCCTAGAAAGAACATGTAGTGTGAGAAAAGGGTTGAGAATAGAATCTACGTGAGTCATTGAAAGAGTATCTAGAATGAGACTAAGGTAGAATGAAGCAGTTAAATGGAGTTAGACTGATTTGGGTTTAAATTCTGACCTTGGCCTTTTCTTAGCTGAGCCCCTAAGCAAATTCATTTAACCTTTCTAACCCTGTTTCCTCACCTGTAAAAATGGAGATACTAACTACTTCATATCATTTTATACACATATACACATGCACGTATATTATACATACAGTAACTTGTAATAAAAGCTCATTAATGTACTAAGTTAATAGTTTTAATTTAAATAGTATCAAATTGATTTTGGAAAACAGAAATGCAGGAAAACTGAAAGAACTGTGTCCTAAAAGCTAAGAATAGAAAAACAACTTAAGTCTTTACTAAAATGGCTCAGCTAAAGAGAGATCCCACTCCATGGAACACAGTCGGAATACTCTTTCATCACTTTCATACCAGTGGCCCAGGATTCCCAGCAAAGGCACAGGCACAGGCACACATGCTCTTAATCTAAAAATTCCCCCAACTCTCTCCCACAATTTAGTTGGGGAATTGTTAAAGTTCTACTTATGACTATCACTTTGGTGGATTAGGGGGGGAAAAAAACATCAAATATCGGGATGTTTAATGTATAACAACACTTTATAAAAGCCAAAGCCACCGTAAATGCTATGCTTGTCAGCAATAGCAGGTTTCTAGTTTTACTATATTTTGCTCTTCTAAGAAGAAATAAAAGCTACTGGCCATTAGCAGTAAGCTCCAGTTTCTAATACAGGCAACTAACAGTGAGTAAACTCCCATGTTGTTAAAAAGGTTAAGGGAGCATGAACCAGTGAAGTCAAGAAGGACAGGCACACCAAAAACACCAAACCTCAGCCCCCGTGCGGTATTCCTGCATGGTATGACTCTGCAGATAATGCTCTGAGACCAGCTCTACTCTTCGGCTTCTCCCCAATGAGGAAATGAGGCGAGGGTATGTCTGTGGCATGCATGGGGTGAACAATCATTGCATCCATCACAGTCACGAGCATCTCAAGAGCACATACTCCACGTCCAAATGTGAAAGGCTCAGTTGCTAATGGCACTATTTCTTATTTTTCCACTATTCAATAAATAGTTCTCTGCCTTCCATACCTAAGTAATTCTTTCCATTGTCTACATGAACAGGTTAGAGATTACCAGCAGATACCTTGGTACTTGCAGATGTGGCAGTTAACATAAAAGATCTAAGCAGGAGGCTGGGCAGAGGTAGGGAGAGAAGTCCAGAGAGGAACATATGGAAAAATACATCAGAATTAATCATTCCAAAAAAAAGGAAGATAAGCCACTGAGACAGAGAGGATAGCATGAGGAAAGGCAGGAAGACAGAGACATGGGGCATTTTGACACTGGAGGCAATTCAAAATTCCTAGAGGAGAGGGTCAAACTTCAAAAGGAAAACTGCTAAGTACTCTGACTAATAGTGTTTCCATGAAACATAAAACAGTGGATCCCGGTATCAAATAAGGGCCTATTATAGGGGGACGTGGGCTTAGATTTACTCTGCTAAGTTTCATCCAAACTAAGGTCTCACTCTGGATTTCTGTTGAGATTTAACATGTACTATGTAGTCCCAAATAAGATGAAGAAATAGAACTATACTATCAAATACACTTGTCACAGAATAACTTTCCACACACAGCCTAGCTCCCAAATACCCACATAACCCAGGCTACAAACCCTTTCCACAGCTGAGAAAAGTCTATGGAAATGCTGTAGTTTCTGTGCATTTCAATGGGTAATAGGTAACTTTTTAAAAAAAACCCTTCAATTATGAATGCAAGCAGTACTGTTTAGATTGCCAGAGTTTAAAAGCATACTTACCTATACAAGCAGTCCATATAGTCTGCTCCCTTGCTATATTCCTCCCAATACCTATGATACATAACAAGTACTTGCTCTTCAGACTCCAGAACCCTCTATGTAGGAAGAAAAATATTTTTACTTGTAAGAGACTAATCATTTTCATTTATAAGCTATACATTTATCAAAAATTAATATTTTAAAATAACTAGCATAATTTAAGCATTATAAATTGCATTTATAAATTCCATTCTAATTTAACCACCTTTAATAACAATGAAACAACTAGAAAACAATGTGAGTCTTAGATATAAAAATAAAGTATCCATACTAGAGAGTAAATTGTTTTATTCTCTAAGATAAAAGGACAAAATGTAATGGTTTGATGCTCTCTTTGGGCTAGAATATATTAAGATCAGTTCATCTAGGACGTAATTCTATTGCCATGTCTCTATGTGTTTCCCCAAATCCATCACATCTGATCAATCTGCTAAGCATATTAGTAAATCCACCTGATATAATTATATCATTACTCCAAATTACTATGTAAATAACACTTTATGAAAATTGACACTTTTTCTACATTCCCCAGGTAAGTTTTTTAAATTTACTTAATAGAAGCCTATTATTATTACGTTTTAATTCTCATCTGAGAATATGTTTATTGATTTTTAGAGAGAGGGAGGAGGGAGGGGGAAGACAAGGGGGGAAGGGAGGACGTGAGAAAGAGAGAGAGGGAGAGAGAGAGAAACATCAATGTGAAAGAGAAACATGACTGGTTGCCTACTATACATGCCCTGACTGGGGATCAAACCCACAACCTAGGTATGTGCCCTGACCCGGCAGCAAACCTGCAACCTTTTGGTGTACAGATGATGATTCAACCAACTGAGAGACCTGGCCAGGGCAAAACCTATTATTTTTTTAAATGAAAATCAAACTAAAATTTGAGGTCTAATTTTTAAAACTTTATTTTTTAAAAAAAATCTAGTCTAACAATAAAAATACATTGGACTGATATTCAAGGGATCTTAGGTTCTCCTATCTGTTTTTTCATTAACTGTCCATATAACCTTAAAAAATCTTGACCTTTCAAACATATGAAAATTTTCATCTATTTAATTATCTAATGCAATACTTTAAACTTGGAATTTTAACAATTAAGGCTCAGGACAATAGAAATAACCTATAAAACATGCTCTTCTTGCTAATCATATTGGTAAATAAATTAGAAATAGCAACTATTAATGATTCTGGGGAATAGGATACCCTTACAAAGTGCTGTTGCTGCTTTGAAAGAATATAAATCTAAGAAAAATTTGTTACTATCTGTCAAAAACAGTAAAAAATGTTCATGAATTAGGACTCAGTAAATTCCAGATCCAGGAATTAATCCTACAAAAACTCGGTTATGCAAAAATAATTTAGCCACAACAATGTTCACAAAACTATTATTGATAAAAAATTATATAAATTGGAAATAATCTATAAGTCCAGCAATATAGAAATATTTAAACAAGCCATAGTGTCTTCACACCCTGAAAACTTTTATTGTCACTGCCAGGATTACAAAAGTCTATTTACTGACAAATAAAGAGAGACTTACAATATTATTAAAAATAAAACTCAGATTATAAAATATATAACGACTAAATTTTCTAATAAAAAATGGAAGTCTATACAAAGTAAAAATATGTAATACAGGAATTACCAAATCAAATGACATATGTACCAAAAGAGGTATTTTTAAATATAGACATATCAAAAATATTAACAACGGTTAATTATGAAGGTATGTTATGGGTGATGTTTATTTTATTTTACTTTATTCTTTTTATCTGTATATCCTAAATTAGCTATAATGGTAAGTACCTCATTAATTTAAAAAGTTCCCTCACCCAGTCAAATCAAATTTTCTTCTCAAAGGTGAAACTGATTTTGTTGGCTACATAAACAATTTACTTTGTCATCTACACACTGGCCAACTTTTTTTATCACTGGCTATGAGAACATATAGTGTATAATCATATACCATTTTTAAATCACACAATTATAACAATGTTAATTTCTTAGTTTGAATACCATACCACTATTATGCAAGGCATTAACATTAAGAAGCTGAATAAAAGTATATAAGAACTCTCTGTACTATTTTTGAAACTCTTCTATAAATCTAAGATTACTTCAAAGTTTTTAAAAAGTCACACAACTTATGCTAAAATATAAAATTGCAAAATTTATAAATGTGTCACACAGTTATCAATTATGGTATAACCAAAGCTCATTAGCTCATCACAGAAGAACTTTAACTTTTAAACTAACTTAACATATTAAACATTTTAAGACCAATTTAAAGTACTTGTTACGAACACTGCTTTCATGAACTAGTGTATGTACATACCAGAACACTACCACATACAAAAAGTGTAGCACTTCCTCTGAACGTTTGAAAGAAACTATCACATGATAAGCTCCACTTATGAGTTATTACCACTTTAAAAACTATCTGCTCCAAGCCTTGCAAAGGGTTAGACATTAGATTGTGTTGTTTTATCTCCATTTTATAAAGATACTTAAAACAGATTGTGAGGTCTATTAAAAAAGGTAGAGTCCCAGTTGCTAGCCCAGACAATAAATGATCTTATCCAGCTCCTTAACAAGATCAGTAGGTTAAGTCAGAAATGCTGTCTAGAGTCAAATATTGCAAATTCATTGTTTATGCACAGATCAAGTCTGTGATGTTACCCTCATATATATGGCATCCTGGCCAAAGATACTAGTCAGAAAGTGTTTCTCTCATGCTTTTAAATTTACCATTTCCCTTTTTAATTATCTAATTTTAGGTTTTTATAAGACTTTACATAGGATATGAAGAGGCAGCTAAAAAGTTGAAAGTAATAAAGACAGATTTACCAAGAGGTGGGAAGCAACAGTAAGAGAAAACTTGGTTCTCTATCCAGAGGACATAGGAGCACATTTTAAGGTGAACCAGCCTTGATTCGAAACCCTGCTTTTAGCAGAAAGAAAAAAAGAACTACTAAACTTCGCGACAGCATGGATGGAACTGGAGAGCATTATGCTAAGCGAAATAAGCCAGGGAGCAAAAGACAAATACCATATGATCTCACCTATAAGTGGAACCTAACCAACAATATAAAGATGCAAGGAAAATAAGACCAGCAACACTGAAAGGAAAAGAAACCAACAGAGACAAGAGGGAAGGAAGGAGGGGGGCAGGGAAAAGGAAGGGAAGGGGAAAGTCAAGGAACATATAGCAAGGACTCCTGGACAAAACCAAAGGGGAAGAGCTGAGGGAAGGAGGAAGGGAGTGGGCAAGGGAAAGTGGTGGGGGGTAGGCAGAGACAAATGTATTTGAAAATATAAATTAATTAAAAAAAAAAAAACAAAACCAAAAACCCTGCTTTTTCCCTTACTGATTACATGATCTTGAGCAACTATACTAGTCTCCCTTGTGAGAACCTAACAGCACAGTGCTTGACTCACAGATCTTAAATATATATAATTAGAAAAATGTTATAGGAAATAAATTTTCCTAAAATTTGTTTTAGGAAATAAAACAAATAAACCTTAACTTGATCTAAGTTCTGCAATGAGAAATAGTGAATAGTGAACAGAAATAACTACACAAACGTATTTTTAACATGGATCTCTATCATTCCTTACCTTGTGTAAATGTCGTACATGATTTTCCAAAAAAATCTTAGTTTCTGTATAAAGTCTTTCTCCAAGGGGTTCAGGATAGGCCACACATAAAGCATAGATATCTCTAGTTCAATTGTTAAGGTTTTCACAGTCACTGGAAATATTCTTTAAAACAAATGAGATTTACCTCGTTTCACATAAAAAAATGAAAAATCATTATTTCATTTTGTGCTTTAGGATTATATAGACATAGATATAGAATAAACAGTAAAATATATTACCACTTTTACTTTAAAAAGCACTAGAGACATATTCATGTACTCATTCAACAAATATTTATTGAGATTTGACAGCATTTTAAGGAAAACTGTTACTCTTAGATTAAAATTCAGAAAGGGATTCTGGAAAGTCATTACCTAGGCACCTACAAAACAAGGTTTATTTAAAAAAGGACATAAGCATAATATCAACAAAAGGCCATGGAGTATCACAAGGGGCAGATATGTCTAGGCAATTCTGAAAAACAAGTTACAAAAATCACTATTTTACACATTTTCCCATATCCATAGTACTCATCAGAATCTTCTACAACCTATTCACTGCCCTTTACAATTTATTCTATCAGAAGAATTATTGTATGAATAGTAGTCATCAAGTTTTTGACCACTCACTATGTACCTTGCTAGGTATCACAGGTAGTATGCTGTACAGAGAGTTCTTAATCAGGAGTCAGAGGAAATGGGATCTGCTTTAGGCATTTACTAGCCAGTGATCTTAATGAAATCTCTTAACCTCTCTGTGACTGTCATTTCCTTTATCTCTATGTTAAGGATAATAAACCCTCTCAACATTTTTATAGGATCCTTATAAGACCCAAATAAATTCATATATGTTAAAGTACTTTATAATTTACGCATCACTCACCAAATGTGGAAAATAAAACACACATGAAGCAACCTGAGACCAGTTTAATTAGACTGCAGATGCAGATAAAAACTGAAAATAAGATTGACTATATGGGATGGAGTCATAAGAATCAGGAAATATTATAAAATAAAAATTTGTGCCTAAAAACGTATCAGAGGTAGGATGTAGGTTCTTCCCCCTCTACAGTCACCACATTTCATACTGGGTTGGTCAAAAAGCCATCAAGTTTTTTCCATAAAATAAAAGACACATTTTTCATTTTCACCAATAACTTTACTGATTTGGATATTGCATGTTGGCTACCTCCCACATGGTATAATGTTGACTGTTCTCAATTAATGTCTCAATTTGGTCCCTGTCAACTTCAACTGGTCTACCCATATGAGAGCATCGTCTAGTGAGAAATCTCAGTCCAGCAGGAAACCTCACAAACCACTTTTGACACATTGGATCAGTCACAGCACTTGGATCCATACACTGCACAAATCTTTTTTTGTGTTTCAGTTGTGTTTTCACCTTTCTTGAAATAATAAAGCATAATATGCTGAAAATGTTGCTTATTTTCTCCCATCTTCAATATTAAAATGGCTACATAATAATTCACCAATTTTGATTTCTTTAAATGCATGCTGATATGACAGTTGTCACAATACAATCTAACAAAATTGTTTCAAATGAACTTAAAGACAACTAAGCCCTACAAAAACCATCTTACAGAAAAAAACAACTTTCTGGCCAACCCAATACATTTTTCTTCTGTAGAACCTGTTTTATACAATAGAAATTATTTACACCTTTGTCATCCATACTAGCTTGTTCTTAATCATCTCTACATTTCCAGCCACCAGGCACAGTTCCTGGCACATAACAGGCACTTATTAGAACTCTTGGTAATGCACGGGAAATAGGGGTCAAATCTCACAAGCTCTGCCTGTTAACTTAGTATCATTACTCTGGAAAGAGCAAGCTTGCCTCCTTACATAAGCCCTCTTCACATGGAAGTCTGGTAGATAGGTCAGCTTTTCCCGTGTTTCTTCTAAATCCTTTTATTTATTTTTAATAAATATTAGCAACTAATAAAATATCTTCTTGTGTATATGTATATATATTTCTTAAATATATTAGTCTATTAAATATAAATAATAATTTTGTTTCTTTAAAAAACACAGTGAAGCAAAAATATCATCCATATAATGTAATATCACTGTGCCGGGTTTTTGTAAAACAATATATACATACACACAAATATATACACACACATATTTATATAAACAATAAGAAACTTACAATTGTTTGAAATCAACTTATAGATACAATAACTAGATTATCCAAGTAAAATACTACGTAAGAACAATCAGCAATAACATATCAAAATATTAACGTTTATTATGAAGAAAGTACAGATTTGAATATACACCACCTAAGAAAGAAGAATTTATCTGAACACAAATTCTGTAGAGAATTTATAATGGTTTGGTGGATGGGAAACGAAACAAAGCATCAACAGAAAAGAAAGGAGCTTCAAAATAATGTATTACATGACCTTCTGGATCCTACTTGGAACCCCTGTAGGTTTCTACTATAAACTCCTCAATGAAAAAAAAGTCTTAATTCACTACATAATTTAAATCTCTAAATGTTTTGCCCTGTTTTGTTTTATCATAAAGGGTTCAATCTCAGTTATTCATCACAAACTACCCTGGTAAAGTCAGATACAAAACAGTTGTCTGAATTAAGTGTATTGGAATCAGAGTGTCCAAACTTTTGGCATTTCTGGACCACACTAGAAGAAGAGTTGTCGTGGGCCACATATTAAATACACAAACCCTACCGAAAACTAATGAGCAAAAGAAAAAAAGTTTTAAGTTAATTTACAATTTTGTGTTGGTCCGCATTCATAGCCATCCTGGCGGCCCGCGGGTTGGACACCCCAACTGATGTTAGGATAGTGGTTAACAGAACTGAGAGAGAACAAGAGATTTTCTCAGATGCTAAGAGTGTTCTATTTACTGAATATGTGGGTATATTCACTTTGTGAAATTTTTTGTTTTTTTCATGCGTACGTATTTAGGTTTCTTAAAAAACTAAATTTAGCCATAATTTAGATCAACAATCCTTTCAGCAAAGGTGTGATGTATTTAATATCATTAAGTTCTAAATACCTACTTCCAGAATTATCATCCAATGTGATATGTGCTCCACCTATTTTTTCCTTAAGCTATACAATTTCTAGAATATACAACTTATTCGATACTGGAAAATTTAAATGATTCAATATCATAAATTCAGCATAATATGTTAATTATATGTCTAAATGTTTTCTCAATATAGCTACTACATGTACACATACACGAAATTTACTACTACACCTCAGGGCTTACTTCTTTTCTGCTTAGGGAAAAAGAATCTGTGCAGGGGGGCAATGCTGACTTTCCCATTTCTTTCCATATATAAGGCATATGTTATCTTCCTCAGTGAGAATGTATTCATTTTTTTAAATGGATGTATCTTAATGAATTTTTTTAAATCCTCACCGGGGCACATGCTCATTGATCTTAGAGAGAGGGGTTAGAGAGGGAGAGAAACATCATGTGAGATAGAAACATGAATGAGGTGCCTCTCCTATGCGTCCCTAACAGGAACCATACCTGTAACCCAGGCATGTACCCTGAGAGGGAATAGAACCCATGACCCTTTGGTCTATGGGACGATGCTCCAGCCAAGTGAGCCACCCTATCAAGGGCAATAAATTTTTCTAAATGAACATTTTAACTCACTATATAGTTTGGGGTCTCAGTTAACCACCATATAACTTCATTCAATTGCGTAAAATATATTCCTAAATATGTTCTTTTTCTTTAATTTATTCAAATATCCAACAACCCTGGAAGTATTCAGGTTTTAGGGAGAACACCCAAGAGTATTTTTCAAGACACTTTAAAAGGCAAAAAATGGGAAATAGCTAGAGGTGAGATTTAGATTTAAATACTCTCTTCCCCAAAGTCATCTTTTCTTTATATCACTGTTTATGAAACCAGAATGTAAATATTCCTCTACTTATGAACTTTCCACTTAAAATTCTGTCAGAAACTTCCAGAGCAAGAGCTCTGAACTGTTACAACCAAGACTGAGCACTGGCCAACGGCAAAACTATTCTAGTTCATTTTCTCCATTAAAAAGTGCTTCCTATACTTTGATTTAATTTTGAGTTTTAACACTATTAATTCTATTGTGTAGTGGGTCACAAACAATGAGTTTTGAAAGGGCAATGAAAGCCCTGACTGGTGTGACTTGGTTGGGCATCCTTCCACAAAACAAAAGGTCAACGGTCTGATTTTGGTCAGGGCACATGCCTGGGCTGTGGGTTAGCTCCCTGGTTGGGGCACATGCGAAGGGGACTGATTGATGTTTCTCTCTCACATCAATGTTTCTCTCCCTCTCTTTCTCCCTCGCCTTTCTCTGAAAATAAATAAAAAAATCATTTTAAAAGAGGCAATGAAAGTCAAAATTACCTTAAAATTGAAAACAGTAAGACAATGACCAAAACGAATTCACTGACAATAAAAAATGAAGATGTTTACTGACACTTCTGAAGAGGCACAATGAAAATGCCATGTGTAAAAAAAAAAAAAAAAAACCCCGAATCTATAAAACCATCCATTAGAATCAGCATGAACATTAAATACTGGTCTGATTTAATTTAGAAGCAAAGAGTGAAACTGCTGCTGATGCACCAACCAGAGATGCCTATAAAGAAAACCTTTACCCAGCTACACAATCTGAGTGATGGGTGTTAAGTGTAGGTGCCAAGGTTACTAAATCCTCCTTTTAACACTTGTGAAGATCATGACAACATTCTTCAATGTGCTCAAAACTGGACTATGTTTGAAAAAGGGCCTAACAGAATATAAATTAGAAATGAAGACAATAGTATACCTGGTTGTGAAAAGCCCAGTTTTCCTAGGCTGGGAAGAAATACATTCAGAGGAAGCAATCTTGTATCTCCTCCTGCTTAATCACCCTGCATTACATAAAACCACTTACAAGCTGAATTGTCCTTAAGTAGAACTTCTGTATTACACCGCTGGGGTTTGGGAATTGTTTTAACAGCTACCAAAAGGCCAAAACAAACAAAAAAGAAAACCACACAAATACAAGTAAATGAAAACAACCAAAGAACTCCAACTCAGAGAAACA